TTCCCGATATTTTTTTCACCTTTTTCATCCACAAAGAAAGAAAGCCAAAAAAAAAAAGGGCAGGAAGAGGTGTTTGGGCGTCCAGTTTGGATTTGTATGATGGCATGAGAGGCCTTAGCGGGTCTCCAGTGCAAATAAAACAAAACAAAACAAAACAAACTATCCTCTCTAAGAGCAGAAATAAGTCCTTAAAATAAAATAATTTTTTAAAAAACCATTTTAATTATGGCTCTTGGGTGGCTTTGAGGACTACACCGTGGCTCACCCCAAACCTGCTTGGAAGTTGAAGCGGAGCTTGTGTCTGAGTAAGCAGAGCTTGAGGTAGTTTGGAACACAGATTTCAACACTAAAAGTAAATAAATAAATAAGAAATAAAAAGGAAGGAAGAGGTGTTTGGGTGTCCGGTTTGGATTTTTATGATGGCATGAGAGGCCTTAGCGGGCCCCTCAACATCTCCAGTGCAAACAAAACAAAACAAAACAAAACATCCTCTCTAAGAGCAGAAATAAGGCCTTAAAATATTTTTTTTTTAAACCATTTTAATTATGGCTCTTGCGTGGCTTTGAGGACTACACCGTGGCTCACCCCAAACCTGCTTGGAAGTTGAAGCGGAGCTTGTGTCTGAGTAAGCAGAGCTTGAGGTAGTTTGGAACACAGATTTCAACACTATTTCTCATGACATTTTTCTTCCCTTTAATATCTCTTTCAACATACACTGGAAGATGCCTCGCAACATCTTGGTGCAGATTTCCTTGTCCCTTCTGGCTCTTATTTCTCTTCTTCAGGCTCTAAAAATCATGAAATCCCCTTTGCTTATTTTCCTCTGCAGAGATATACAGCCCAGCCTGCACTCACTCATAACCTTTGGGATCCACGAATCCTCCCACCCCAGGATATTTCTGAAATAACCAACTACTCCTTTCAAGGGAGTGGTGTGAAGGAGTTGGTTCTGCCAGATTAAGTACAGATGAGGTATTTGCTTGCAGAGTTTTTTTGGGGGGGGGAATTACCATTTTGTCTGACAAAGAGTTCTGCATTGACTAGGAAGTTTTAACTGTCTGCTCTGACACATTTCAGTATTTGACCTCCATATTTAATAGGTTTCACCCCAATTTTAAACTGCTATGAAAGCATTGAGTTGGCATTAAGAGCCAGCAACAAATGTGATGCAGCAGCTATGTACACGTTCCTTAAAAGTCTTTAATTGTGAGAAAGAGAAAACCAGGACTGTGGAATGTGGCAAATTTGCCTTGTTATTCGTGATGGAAGGAAGAAGCATTGGTTCATTTTCATATGATCCTGTGCTACTTTCAGATTTTTTTTAAAAAATCTAATCAGCAGAATTGGAATTAGGTCAATATTTCCTGTCCTCACTCTGATTTGGCTTTTCCATCACATGTTTGACCTGACTAACCTCAAAATATTTCCTCCATGATCCTGTATTGGCCGGGATTACATCAGAAAGAGATTGCTGGGGGTTTTATATTGGTAGTAAAGCTGCGCATTAAAGGGGGGGGATACAATTAAACAGGTGGTAAGCAACCCAGTAAAATGGTAAGTGAGGTGAGGCTAGAGATTGTGAAACTTTGCTACTTAGAACTACTCTTTTTTTCTTGAAATGTTTTGTTAGTGAAAAGTTCAGCATATCAATAGAATAAATACTATAGAGGAAGTTTCCTTGCTCTGCACCTCCTGGCATGATTTTGTATGAGCCAGTCACACTATTCTGAACAATCAAGCAATCAAGGATGCCCAAAGGTGTGGATGGCACGGAGTGGGTCTGGCTGGGTTGGCACTCTGCTCTGTTGCTCTCTAACAACGCTTGGCTTGGCTTTCCTGCTGGTGGGAGGAGGGGAGGTTGAGGGCATTCGGCTCAGCATCTCAGAGGTGCCTTAAAGTCTTCTGCCACTGGAAGGAGCAAGACCTATGGCACTGTCGTGGAAGCAGCCAATTTAGAAACTTAGGGCTTCCCTTTCTCTCCCCGCAGAGTCGTGGGGTGTTGCCCTACTTTGCCAACTTCCGTCTGATCTCAGAGCTCTCGACACCCTTTGTGAACCTGAGGTGAGTAAAGCAAACATTACAAGTTCACAGGAGCTGGCTCAAGAACCTATGTCTGCCAGTTGATACAGGGGCCCCAATAACCCAATTTTGGGAGGGGGCAGCCTGGAATGGGGGGGGAACTGCAGGTATGGTAGGCACAACCAAGAAACAGTCCCATGAACTGTGTACTCCCTTGCATGAGCAAGGCTTTTATTTTGTAGCCCTGAGGACTAGAAATTTGAGAAGTCCTAAAAATGAAATCAATACGCTATGGATTTTGCATTAATGAACTGATGAAGTCTCAGAACGGTGTTATGCTGTAAACTACCTTGAGTCCTACAAGGCAGGATGTACAAGTAGTAGTTCTAGAGTTACTATGTAAAGCCATAATAAACTTGCAGTAGTGGGACGTGGTGGCGCTGCGGGCTAAACCGCAGAAGCCTGTGCTACAGGGTCAGAAGACCACGCAGTTGTAAGATCGAATCCATGCGACGGAGTGAGCGCCCGTGGCTTGTCCCAGCTCCTGCTAACCTAGCAATTCGAAAGCATGTAAAAATGTGAGTAGATAAATAGGGACCACCTCGGTGGGAAGGTAACAGCGTTCCATGTCTAAGTTGCACTGGCCATGTGACCACGGAAAATTGTCTTCAGACAAAATGCTGGCTCTGTGGCTTGGAAACGGGGATGAGCACCACCCCCTAGAGGCGAACACGACTGGACAAAAATTGTCAAGGGGAACCTTCACCTTCACCTTCAGTGTTATTATACTGGAATATCTGTAAGAAATATGATCTATCAGTGACTAAAAACTGGTGGGATCATAAAACTTAAAAAGTTGTTGAAAATGGAGAAGTCAAAATATTATGAGACTTCTGAATTCAAACCTGTAAAACATCTGGCTCACAAACTACCTGATTTAATAATTATTGAAAGGAACATAAGGACATAAGAAGAGCCCTGCTGGATCAGGCCAGGGACCCATCTAGTCCAGCTTCCTGTATCTCACAGTGGCCCCACCAGAAGCAGGTCTGGGTAGGAGACGTGGCAATACCTGGGAAGGTTAGAATAGACAAGAATGAATTTGAAAAGATTGCCAAATACAAAGACTTACAAACTGAGATTGAGCAGTTATGGTAATAGAAGACTTAAATGTTCCAGTTGCCACTAGACCTTTCGGTGTACAGTGGTGCCTCGACTCACAGATGTCCTGACTTACGACCAGCTCTGGCTATGGGGGGGGGGTTGTGGGTTTTCCCCCCAGCCCCATAGCATTCCATTGGGACTGGCTGTGGGTTTTTTTTGTTTGTTTGTTTGCTCTGGCTGTGGGGGGAGGGTTGTGGGTTTTCCCCCAGCCCCATAGCATTCCATTGGGGCTGGCTGTGGTTTTTTTGTTGTTGTTGTTTATTTGTTTGTTTGTTTTGGTTGGTGTTTTCTTTTTTGGTGTGTTTGTTTTTCGGCCCCAGCACGTTCCTATGGGGCTTGCAGTGTTTTATTTTTATTTTATTGGGGGGGGGGGGGAACAGATTAATGGGTTTCAATGGGAAATGGTGCTTCGACTTATGACCATTTTGAGTTACGCCCATCTTCTGGAACAGATTATGATCATAAATTGAGGCACCACTGTATAAGGTTGACTATTTTATGTTCAACCCCCTTTTAATGAGATGTAGCATGGAATTGGCCTTCTTCACTGCCGCCACACACTGGTTTGACCCTTTCATCGAGCTGCCACCAGCACTCCAAGATCTCTTTCCTGATCCATCACAGACACAACTCAGAACCCATCAGCTAATAACTGAAGTTTTATACTGAAATGCATTTGCCATTTTGCCGCCCATTCTCCTAGTTTGAAGAGAACCTTCTGGAGCTCTTCACAACCCCTTCTGGTCTTCACCACACCAGAAAAGTTTTGTGTCATCTGCAAACTTGGCCACCTCACTCCTTATCCATGTCTCCAGGTCATTTATAAACAGGTTGAAAAGCACCAGTCTCAGGACACATACCTGGGGCACATCGCTCTTCACCTCTCTCATTGACACCTACCCTCTGATTCCTGGTTCTCAACCAATTCTCAGCCCATAAGAGGACCTGCCCTCTTATCCCTGGAGTGTGGAGTTTTCTCAGCAGCCTTAGGGGAGGGACCACATCAAATGCCTTCTGAAAATCCAGATAGACAGTATCTGCTGGTCCGCCCACTTCCACATACCTGTTGACCTTTTCAAAGAATTCTAAAAGGATTGTGAGGCAAGACTGACCCTGACAGAAGCTGTACTGATCTTCCCTCAGCTTTGATGTGTTTATTGGATCAGAGCCATTTAGATTCCTAGATTCCTCTGCGTCAAATGGGTCTCTGGTTTACAGGCAACATGGGGCTTCTGTTTAATGAAGAATATAGGGAGCAAATGCTTGAATCCATGACAGCAGCCCTAGTTCAAATGCAGTTTGTTGAGAACCTGCTGAGAAAAGGGGATGTGTCTTTACCTATTGCAGATATCGCAGTTAAGGATCTGGAATGATTGTGTGGCTTACTTTCCTGGCATTGCTTTCATAGGCAGTGTCTGGGTCTTCTTAGCTGCATTTCTTCATCTGTGCTATTTTTTGTTGCCTCAGGTGGTTCCTGGACACAGCTGGCTGGCCACGCTCTTCCCACCTGGTCTTGGCCAACGGCCTGGCCATGACAGTAGTCTTCTTCCTGGTGCGTATTGCCGTCATCCCCAGCTATTACAGACAGGTATACTCCTGGTATGGAACTCCTGAGTATGAGCGCTTGGGCTTGGGTGTGCAGTTGGCCTGGATTGGGCCCAGCCTGGCCTTGGAAGTGCTCAACGTGGTTTGGATGTACCGCATAATCTGTGGCTTCTATCGAGCCTTCTGCCGGTCTAAGGCACGGAAAGCACCATGAAGAAAAACAAGTGACGGTGAACTTGGTCAGGAACCTAAGAGACCTAAATCCTCACAGACAAACCTAGACACACCCTTCTAATTCCCTTAGAAGCCAGTAGCTATAGGACCTGCTCCTGACCCTCCCTATGGGCCAGGGAACTCTGGACCCTCACAAACAGGGTATTTGAATTTGCCTTCCAAATGAAAGGAAGATGTGTGCTGTCCTGACAAGAATCAGCAACTGTTATGCTGGAGAGAGACATCTGTCCACCGTCTGGAGAAGGGCTCTCAGTGGCATTTGACACAGTTGGAGGTGTGTGTGCCCACCACAGGAATGTTATTTGGCCTACACTGGAAAATGGGAAGAGCGATACAGCTGGGTCAACTGTTGCCTGGTCTTTATGCCTCAGCTGAGGCTGCTCAGGACAGATGGGATGGGACTCAGTAGATGACCTTGAATCGAGTGACAGGAGTTCAGTCTGTAAGTTATCAGCTGGAGCAGTGGGCATTGTTGCCTCGTAGTAGTAGTAGCGGGGCCTGGCTCCTTTGAAAAAATGCTTTGGAGGAAGGACAGTAGCAAATAAACGGGATTCCCATGGGGGCCATTCTGTCAAAGGACTCCTCGGGCCCTGTTTAAAAGTTTGTTGGGAGAGAAGCTGGAAGAGAGTGAAGGGATGGAGAACAAAAATATGTCCAGGGATACATCACAGCTGCAGAAGTACTGGGCCCCATCAGTGGGGAGTGTGCCAAGACTATCACTGGCATTGGAACAACTATACTGAATTATTGGGGAATCATTGGAAAAAGATGATTCACCTCTGCCAAGTCTGGTTGGAACTTCTCATTAGCTTCCCTATTTTAACTCGGGGGGGGGGACCCAGACCTTCTTGACTATGCATGCTTTTGTTCTGAAAGTTCAGAGGCAGAAAACTAGCTATAGGTTTGAAGCAAGCTATGAAGTTCCCAAGGGATGGGTCAATCCCATTTCACAATAACTTGAAATAGTATTACCTGTCACTTTAGGATCTCAACATTTCTTCCTCTGATGACACTTGTCTTATAGGAAAATTCCCCCCTTGCACTAAATCTTAATATTTTGTTGTCAGATAATGCAGACCCTCTGACTCCTAGCTTATGCACCCAGTTCTTACATCAAATCCAGTGCAGTGGATTATAGTGTCCCATTCCTACACCATTTTTTTAAACTTGTTTTGATGTATTGGTTGTTTTTAAAGACTCTCAAGGGCCTGAGCATTTGTCCTGTGCACTTATGAAAGCAGTCAGGTAGGCCTTTTAAAAAGACACGGAGACATGCAGTGGAACTCCCTCTCCATTCCACCTTCCCATGTCTTTCCCCACCTGCTTTTCAAACATAGTCTTATTCCCTGGGTCTTCCGCCTCTTCAGCCCTGCTGAGGACCACTCCAGCAAATGACAAATAGACCACAAGCACTGGTCCAGCTCTTTCCTGCAGCGCACCAATTCCTCTTGGGTCTGCTAATAGTGACAACCCCCAATAGGGTTAATTAAGGACGAAAAAAGCTTAGGGACACTAACCTCAATGCATATGCATCCTTACATGTATGCTTGTTTTATTTATTTCCCCTCCCTGGCCTTCTTCCATGTTTGCTCTTGTATTTTCATCTGTAAAGGTAAAGGCTTTGATTTCTTTCATTAGAACCTATGCTTCTAACAAAATTAACACATTTCCTAGTTGTACAAGCATTCCCAAATTCCCCGAGGCATTGTTGATTTAATTCATAGAGTTTGCACCTGTTCCAAACAAAACCTTATAATCTAATAATTTGCTGCAAGATCAAATAACTTCTTTGGTCTTCAGGTTTACTGAACGGTGTGAAATGTTACAATTTAGTTTCAACTAGCATTTCCCAACTTTCAGCAGAGACAAAAGATTTCACAGCTCTTTCTCACTCTCCTTCTGCCATGTTCACCGTGTGCCCAAGGTAACTCATGGTCACTGCTGCTGGCCATAGCCAGCCCCAGTGGTTGACACCATGTGCATATTGCAGCCCGTGGCCTGAGCACCTCCCCACCCCATGTTTGGATGAGGCACTCGTTCTTGCTCAGCCCTCTGGTTGCTGCTGGAAATGTGTGCTATTCTTCTCTGTGGTAAGGAATTCATCCTGCAAAGCGGCAGAAAGATGCTGCCAAGGGAATGGCACTGTGAGATTTCAGTCTTGTGACTCTTTCTTTCATTGAACTGAGGGCGCTACATCTGTGCGGCCTAGACAGGGAAGAACTGCAAGGGTTTTATGGCCAGTCTATACAGATAGCCCATCATTTGGAAAGTTCTAGCTGTGACCGTCCTAACAGTTGTCATTCCCTGAACTGATGCTGCACTCCATCCCATGACCACCACAAATATTACAGTGCTGTAAATGCTTCCCTTGCTTGGGTAAGTTACTGTATATGGATCATAATTCCCCAAGCCCTGTTCAGCACGGAAGGTGTGCTGTATATTGGCAGGTGTAGCCTCCCAAAGTAACTTGTCCGACCTCTGGTACCAGGCCAGCGGATATTGGGTGCTGTGCATTACTGGGAGAAGCAACTGGCAGTAGAGATGTACATCAACCTTCTGTCTCTTTTAAGGCCTGAGTCCCAAAATGTGCCTCTAGTTGCACGCTGCACTCGCTTTCCTCCTATTACACTGCAGCTCTGCATTTTGCTCCTGCAAATCTCAGGGAGACAGCTTTGCTGTGGAACGCCAGCCAGTTCAGCCAAGGAAGTTCAGCGAATGGAATGGAGCCATCTGTCTTGGAGTATTGCACTGAACTGATATAACTGTGAAATGCATTTTTGTACCCTTTTGTCTCAGTTGCCCTCATTACAGGAGATGATTGCTCCCATTTCACAGGCAGCAAACCAAGGGCAGGGAGGAGGAAACGAGAGGGATTCATGGTCACTACTGAGGAAATGGGTGCAAATATATACAGTATTAGGTTCCATTCCCACAGCTCAACATTTAGCTTTTGTGAAACTTTATACATTTTGCCCCCTGATATCAGATTACCAAAATTACTTGGAGTGGTGTATCTTTCCTCTATATGCCAATTATTTTCTGTACCTCTGGCCTCTAGTAATTCCACAGTTCGGAAATGTTCTGTGTTTTTGAATGACAACTTCTAGAACTCTTAAAGTAACAGAGCCTTAAAATAGAGTACTTTGAGTAATTCAGTCTTAAAACAAACCCTGTCGGATAAGAGAATTATTCCACTACTGCACCATCAAAACTAAAAGCTAAAGCCTGCCAGGCAATTCAGCTTTAGAAGCCCCATGGAAGTGAATCCCCACTGATTTTAGTGAGGCTTAAACATGAGAATGTTCTGGTGGATAATCATTCCTCTGAATCAAAGAAACTGACTAAGTGCCTTAGGGCACATTTGAATAGTCATCCACTTTTTAAGTTTATTTCTTAAATCTTTACAAATCTGCCTGGATGCTGGGAGAGTGAGCTATAATTTTTAGGAGCTGCCAGTAAGAACTTTCTCCCCTAACTATGTGCCTTAAAAGACTTTCCCAAGTACCCAGCAATGCCTTAACAGTCTGAAAAGCACCTTTGGTTAGGTAGAAGGAGGCACTTGACAGTTTATATCATTCTTTTCTTAACAAATATACATCACATATACTGTAGAAATTAAAATGTTGACTTTTTTTCTCTGCATTTGAGAATGGTTTAATCTTCCCTGATGCAGTGTTTGTAATTTTTTAATTTCAATTTATTAACAACTGGAATTGAAGAATGTTAATATAATAAATGTGATTAATTTATTCAATTTTATTCCCTTCTCTTCATTATTGTCTCTGTCCTTGTACATCTCTGTGGTGCTTCCAGCTGTGTGAGCGGATACACTAACAGAGAAGCATGCATTGCACCAAATATGGACAACTGGACCTTGAAAGCCTCTTTCTGATAGATTTCTCTGAATCTTCACTCTTGGAATTTTCAACATGCACCCAGTTGTAATCAGCTATGGATAGATCCTGTCCATGCTAAATTAAGAGAAAAGCCCAGCTTCATGATGACTCCAGGACAAAAAAATGAATACAAATGTGCTGCTGCTAATAAAACAGCTGGCACACTACATAGGATCAATAAAATTATCTCCTCCCCCCCTTCTCACACACAAGAACTACACTGGAAGGCGTGATGTTATTTTTTATGTGGACTACAACTCTCATAGCTCATTAACCAGAATGGCCAGTAGGAATGCTCACTAGGGAAGTTTAGGGGCCCATAACCCAAAAAAGCAGCAAGAAAAGAGGAATATCAAATAAGAGGTGAATTGATTCAATAAGGAAAGCAAAAGGCTTGAATTTACAAGAACTGAACAGAGCTGTTATGGGTAGATGAAGGCATCCAACAGTCTACATCATTCTGTTCTGAACAAATGTATGGCACACATACAAGTGATAGAAATTCTTTTCCAGTAAATTCTTTTCATGCCCTCGCCAAAGCAAGTTAGCTTCTGACCAGTCCATACATGAGCTCTTCCACCATCTAATGCCCTTGCCTGAGTTTTCAATAGAAAGAATCTTGCAGCAACTTTACATTGGGAACTTTTACACCACTTATTACCCGAAAAAGGCTTTTATAAGCTGTTGGTAACATGATTGTTTATATCCCAGAGGTAAGAAATCAGTTGAATGTTGTAGTAATGTGTAGAATTTCAGAACCATCTCTAAGCAACAGGCCTAACCTGGCTTCCTGCCCAGTGAGAAGCCTCTAGACTTTGGGAGCTTCTCAGTTTCTTGAGCAAATGAGATGGGGTGGGCAGCCGACGGAGTGCAAGTGAGTTCAGAAATTTTAGGTGGCCGTACAGTGCATGGCCTGGTGAAAAGGTGACAGTGTCCCAAACAAAAAATGGGCTGTATGCTGTACACGTTACCCCATCGGAGAATAATAGGCCAACAGGTTAAACTGGCTGGTTTTTACAGGCTAGTTTTATGTGAGAGCATCCAACAAAGTCTTTGAATGACAGACAGACTTAACTCGAGAAAGAGAGAATCATAGTATTTGTAAGACACTTCTTGAGAGGTCAGAGTGCTCTGTGTGCATAATAAATGTCTCAGCTTTTAAGGCACTAGGAGGGTCTCTCTGTTTTTTTCTGCAACAGACTAAGGTGGGACGCCCCTTTATAAATAATTGCGAAAGATGCACTGTAACAGTTCTGTGCCTACATTAGCTATTTCCAGAGGATTTCATCCTGAAATCACCCGTTTTCATGTGTGAATTTTTGCAATGTGTTCTGATGCCATCCTCCTCACCCTCATCTCTGTACAGCCTTCCTGCATTTGCCGAACTCTTCCTCCATCCTCCACCATCATTCCCCACATCACCGTTTTTGGAAAAGCTGAAGTGGATGCACAATGTCTTTTGGTTGCTGTTAGCAGTAAATTATCGTCAGAAGCAAAGAAAACGATCATACCTTCTTCAGGTAATAAATGGTCCAAAAGCTCTTAAAGTAGGGTGGCTGCCAAGTCTTGAGTCTTCTACTCAAGACTCAGGCAAAGGCACCAGAAAGTGGAAGAACTCATGTAGGGACTGGTGGTGAGCTGCTTGTTTTGGTGAGGATATTGAGAAACTGTAAAATTGTAAGAGCATGGAGCAGTTTTTATCATTTTCCCTTCAATAACGAATCTGAAGGGAAAGCAGAATAAACAGAGGAGCATTATAAATGGAAGCCCCAAAATGTTCCACAAAAGAGACCTCCGTTGCAGAGTCATATCTGGAAGTATCTTTAACCGAGCTGAGAACAGAGCCACAACTTCATCTGGAAGTATCTTTAACCGAGCTGAGAAGGCATTAAACCTTCAGACAGGATACGGATAAAAGGTTCCTTAGTCAAGGGCAGTAGCCCAGCAAGGTGGACGAAACATAAGACATAAGACATAAGACATAAGAAATTTATTTGTCATTGCGCTCACAAGTGGGTGCAACTAAATGAGGTGCTATTAAAAGATTCCTTAGTCAAGGGCAGTACGAAACATGTTCTCTAGGTTGGGTGGAGTCCACACAAGGATTTTGTGCCACCTGACAGACCAACAAGTTTTATCTGGAATAAGCTTGTTCTCTAGGTTGGGTGTGAGTCCACACAAGGATTTTGTGCCACCTGACAGACCAACAAGTTTTATCTGGAATAAGCTGTAGTGGACTCTAGCCCACGTTTTAGGTATACCTGATGCCAGATAAAACATGTTTGTCTCAGTTGTTCGAGCTGCAATAGACCAACATGGCCACCCCCTCAGAACTTGAAACTATGATGGAGGTGGGCAATGGGCAACCTGGGGGCTTTATGCAGCCCCACCCTTTTTTGTGGGCCACTGGATCCTTCTCCCCCCACCTTTTTGGCAAAAAACCAAACAAATCCTAAGGTGGCAAATTTCTCTTATATCAGTATACCCCCCCTCAAAAAAAAAATAGAATAGGTGCGAACCTGCTGAATCCCACCTCTGACTCTAGCCCACGTTTTAGGTACATGTGATGCCAGATAAAACATGTTTGTCTCAGTTGTTCGAGCTGCAATAGACCAACATGGCCACCCCCTCAGAACTTGATACTTATATAAAACTATGATGGAGGTGGGCAATGGGCAACCTGGGGGCTTTATGCAGCCCCACCCTTTTTTGTGGGCCACTGGATCCTTCTCCCCCCACCTTTTTGGCAAAAAACCAAACAAATCCTAAGGCGGCAAATTTCTCTTATATCAGTATACCCCCTCTCCAAAAAAAAAACACACCATATCTCTAGGGGTTTATGAAACCAGAAGTGGGCATCTCCCCATTTCAGGTTTCATTTGGGAAGATGCTCACCCATTTGGGGGCAGAAAAGTGGCCTCTAGCTCCTACAGGCCGCCCACTCCTGAAACGTAGGGAGCTGCCTTATGCCGAGAGTCAGGATGATTGACCATTAGCTAGACTGAGATAATCACCTTGGACAGTGGAAAACCTTGATTAGTGCACTTCTGGCATTATTCACACAGCTAGCTGAGGAGTTGCCCAGACAGCTGTAGTGAAGAGGACAACACCAGCACCACCCTCCTCCTTCTCCCCCCTTTTCCTCTTCTTCTCACCTGTTGAGTGTTGTGACAGCACTTCTGCCTCAGGGGTCTGGAAGGGTTGCACTGGTGCTGCTGAGGATCAGAATATTGGTCCACCCAGCCCAGGACTGGCAGTGACTGGCAGTGGAACTCCATAGTTTGGGCCAAGATCCTTTCCTAGCCCTACCCGGAGAAGAAACCTAGGACCATCTACCTGCAAACCATGTGCTACAGGCCAGTCCTTCCCATAGACGGACACAGACTGAAGAGTGGAATAAATCATCCTGAAGCGGCAAGGCAGTTGGGTTATCCCTGACATCCTGACCTGTGGCACCAGTCTCTTCCACCCACTGTGCCCTGGTAGTGCATTTGATTTATCATCTGAATGGCAGATTTTGCCCCCTCATCTGTAGCTTAGTTCAACCCAGCCAACTCAGCACTGCAACCTGTCCTGTGCACCATTCATGGGCAACACTGTTATGAGGGCCAATTTGTCTGCCTGCGCCCTCAGGAGTGCAGAAGAATACAATATAATCATCCTGTAGGTTCCCTTTCCTTGCATGGGAGATCCTTAAGTGATGATCTCAGTCCTTGTTCATCTCCAACAATGAGCCACGGATGCCACATAGTTTTGAAATGCTAGGCATCAGTCATGTAGCCCTGCCAAGAGAGATGCTGCAGTAGCGCCCCAGTAGCAATTTTGTTCCTTGCTCTAGGAAGCGACACGTAACATACACACACACACACACCACACGAAGGCTGTTTACCAAGCTAGTGGGATGCTGATGTCAGCCTAGGCACCAGGGTTCTATAAATGGAAATGTTCATTCTTAGTAAAAAAGTTTCTTTCTGAGGAAAGAGACGGGGGGGGGGGGGGGGGAGAGAGCTCTGATTCAGCCGTCACATATCCCAGCCTCACATCATCAGCAAAAATTAAGCTCCCAGCCTCTCCCTCAGGAATTGATGAGTCCCAGTGTGCCAAATGACACAGTAAGCTTTGAGTTCTACTGGAGTGAACTATTATTATTATTAATATAGCATGGGTAGCTTCAAGACAGACCAGGCACTGACAACGAAAATCAGCTAGAAACACAGAACTGATGTTCAACTATCTCCTTACCACCCGACAGTCCTCCCTAAATGGTATTAGTATCTGTCCAGAAACTCTAGAATAATTTTTTGCTGGCTCTCAGAGTGAAAATCAGTTAGGTCATAATGGAGCCTGAGTTCTTCTGCATACAAAGCATGCATTCCAGTGCCTGTGATGTAGGTCCTCAAACCATATCCCTAAAACAGCTTTCAAAGTACAGCACATGAGATGTTTAAGGAGTGGCAGTGCTCAATTGCTACTTCAGCTTCCTCTTCTCCCAAAAGACAATCTATACTCCTCCAGGCAAATGTGAAGTACAAAAGGAGGGGATAGGATTGCAGATGGATATTGACAAACAAGTAGTCAATGAGTATCTTACTACTTTTAATAGGCTCCAAACCCCGGGGCCGGATGAACTGCCTCCAAGAATATTAAAGGAACTGGCTGAAGAACTCACAGAATCACTATTATTTTCTTGAAATCATGGAGGATGGGTGAAGTGCCAGATGATCAGAGAAAGGCTAATGTTGTCCAAATCTTTAAAGAGGGTAAACAAAAGGAATCAGGAAACTACAGACCAGTAGTCTGACATCGATCCCAGGGGAAATTCTGGAGCAGTTTATGAAGGAGCCACTCTGCAAGCATCTTGAA